GGGCGAGTCGAATGCTAGGCCCGCAGCGACTTGCGCGCTGGGGGCAGATCGCGCTGGATGGTGGGCGCGTGGGCGAGAGGCGGCGCGCTGGGCGGCGCTGCCCGCGTCGGCCTGCGCGCGCCTCAACCGCTAAGGCGGTGGCGTGGCTGGGCAGCAGGAAGGCGTGCAATGTGGCGAGAAAATGCACGGGCTGAGCTTGCGTGCCGTCTGCCCCGGGCCTCAGAAGGACCCTTTGTGCGCAGCGCCCCGTGCGACATAGCCGATTGAAGTCGGTGCGTTATGAGATGGAACAAGCATCGGTGCCAGCAAGCACTCGGGAAAATGCATGGAGACGGGCTTGGCAAAGCGCAGGCGCGCTCGGCGCGCCAGCCCGCGGGCGCGCGGGCGCGCGTGCCCAAGAGCGCATCGAACGAAGCATGGTTGCGCGCAGACGCAGCATGCCTCTGCCTCTGCGCGCGCCCCGGTGGATAGCCGAGCGCGCAGATGCCCGGCGCGCGCGGCCAGGCGCGCGGGCGCGCGAGGGCACAGCGCTGCGCGTGCGCTGGCACCGCTGGGCACAACAATGCCCCGGCGTGTGCGTGGCACAACGCAGGAGTGCCAAGGCATTGCGCACCGTGCTTGAGCAGCTGTGCCATCGGGCGTAGGCGATGCCCTGGGCGCGCTGAATCGGACGGCGCGCGGGGGCGCATGGGCGTCGCGCGCCGCGGGGCCGGCGCCGCCGCGCGCTGACGATGCGCAAGCGTGCCCCCCGCCAGCGAGTTCTGAGTGAGCGGGCAGCTGCCGCTGAAGGGGCAACCGCGCCTACTTCCCTGTCCGACGGCGGCGCGGCAGAGGGGGCGCAGGTTGCCCCGTGGCCGCGCGCCTGGGCGGAATGGCGCAGCGACGGGCGCAAGCGCGAGCTTGCGGCCAAGTGCGCGACAATCGTATAAACAACTGCCTGGAGCTGCACGCTCTGCGCATCGTGCGCTGAGCGCTAGGGCGCGCATCGTGCGCAGGAGTGGGGGGGGGGGGGGGGGGGGCCCTGTCTTTTTGTTATCCACATCGTGGCGCAGCTCGACCCCGATGGCCTGTCAATCGCGCTCAACAGTGCTACCTTATTGAGTGGACGAGAGAACTGCGCGTCCGTGGTCGCGTCGACGAGCGGTCGAAGCCAACATCGCCAATGGCGTTGTACGTAAGCGGGGCCACATCCCCTTTCCTGGGGGACGAGTTAGCGGCAAGGCGTTTAAGGATTTGCTGGAGCGACAGCAGTGGATGCCAGCGGCTTGCCTGAATACCTCATCCTGGAAGAGGGTCGGCGGGGGCGGTGGCGACGTCGCCGTCGAAGTCCGCCTCGAGGAAGAACCATAAGGAACAGATTCCTCTATCCCTTCCGTGGGTTTGCGCTCCCATGCGTGCACAAGGCATGGACAAATCGCGTGTCTGGCCGGCGATGTCTTGGGCTGGATGGCCCCCAGCGTCCCGGCCAGAGAACGCGCGACCCACGAGGGCAGGCGGGCGGGAAAAATAGCATTCCGCGCCCATCGTGGGCGCGAGCAATGGCAGCCCTCCGTGGCCAACACCGTCGGCGTCTCAATGGACGCGACGACTTTACAAAACACCGTTGGCGTCTCCGTGGACGCGACGACGCACAGAGCCGCCATCTCCACGAGACCGCGGCTTCCAGAGAACCACCAGGCACCATGTGCCAGAGGCTTGTTAGTCACCAGCTCCTGCGGAGCAGCCAGGCGCGTGAGACAGGGGCCACCTGCTCTCCCTGGAGAGAGCAAGCGAAACTGTCCATACCGAAATGTACACGGACCGCAAACCGAAAAGCCCCCAGAGGCCAGGAGAAGGAAAGTGGAAGACGAACCGCTCATTCGTCATATTTGCCTGCTCCCCAAATCGCTTCGCGATTTAGGAGCGAGAAAAAGAGAAGCACGGCAGGTCGAAATTGCCGAACAGGTTGAAGGTGAAGAAGAGACGGGTCATGCAATGAACAATGGGTGTGGCGTGGCCGTCGTGTGGGCTACAGCTGGACGTGGTGTATGCAACATTCGCCCGATGCGTGTCTGACTGGCTGCGGTCCACAGTCGGGGAAACACAATGCATCGGCGACATCAGCTTGGTGATGAGCTCCTCCTCCGCCTTGTCCAACTCCTCCAGGCGTCATGCAGATAAGCCAGGAGCAAGGCGACTGCGGAGGGGATGATGATACTGCCGAGTAGTGGCAAGTTGAGAACCCTCCGAACAAAACTGTTTTCTGCGCGCGGCTGCCGCGCGGGCGCCTTAGGACTCGGTCCCGTGCGCAGACGAAAGCCATCTTGACGCTTGAAGCAGCCGTGGTACTACCAGGTTTCTTGGCTGGGGCCCAAAGCAATGCAGCAAATACATTAACAAGCTGTACGTCGTTTGGCGCGCGCAGCGTGCTCACCAACAGAGAGGCCACCACCAGTGCGCACAAGCCGAGCCCAAACACTGGCCCAGTCGGGCGGTATATCGGTGGAATCTGCGCCCCATTGCCAATGCCGGGAAATTGTACATGTGGTGACGGGGCTGAAGCATTGCTGCCTCCTTGGGTCAGTTGGACCCTGCACCAGGCCATTTGTCACCCAACAAACACAAGGACACTTGCGGTCGAAAGCGTGTTCTTCATCGCGCGCGTTGGTGCGGTGGGCGACCTCCAATAAGGGTTGCAGAACAGCCATAAGCGCAAACTATTTGGGGAATGGACGGTGACGTCGTTGAAAAGTAGGGGGCAACTGCAGACGTGCGTCCACATCGCACTCTGCGCACTTCGTGGATCACGAACTGGGACCGATCCTAGCTCCGCTACCACCTGGGATTTCCGGTATTAAGGGCAAACGGTCGGAGAAACTTGTGGCAATGGGAATAGCAGAGCGGCGGTCGTTATTGTCATTCTAAACCACAATATGTCGCCTGCGCGCCGTAAGCAAGACATGCAACGGAAACGCACGCATGCTCCTCGTCGAATAGTGGGGAGGAGGAGGAAGAAAAGGAGGAGGAGAGGGAGGATGAGGAGGAGGATGAGGATGAGGAGGAGGAGGAGGAGGAGGAGGAGGAGGAGGATGGCGCGGAGAAGGAGGACGACGAGGGAGAGGAGGAAGAAGAGGGGGAGGACAACGACGGGCAGGAGAAGGAGGCGAGGGCGAGGAGGAGAAGGACGAGGAGGAGGATTAGCTTAAGCCCAAAACGCGTCAGAGGTGTTGCAACCCGCTCTCCTGGGACTTCAGCGCCATGAATCAATTTGACTCTTGCGACCTGGTCATCCTAAATCGTGCCAGAACACCCGTCCTGGGAATTTCAACGGCGCGGGACAACGTGACTGTTGCGCCACAGCAATCCTGAGCTGCACCAGAACACCATTCCTGGGACCGCCGACGTACGGATTCTTGACACTGCTGCAAACGATTGCGGCGATATGGCTGCAACGACGTGTTGAGGAAACAAACAGTCTCCATCCTTGCAGGTGCTGCAACTTATGAATCGAACGCGCGCGGCGCCGCGGCGAGAACCGCATATTGAAACGGACGCGTCCTTCATGGTTTATAAGCTGCTGCGGCCTTGAAGGACGAATGTGCGCGGCGCTGAAGCGAAAAAACCGCAGTTTGAAGAAGGGCCCGCTCTCCGTCCTTGGGGAAGCTGCAACTTTCAAGCTTCAGGATCATAGGTTGCGGGGGGATCTCGAGCGAAACGCACGGCCCGCCCTGCCAGCGTCTGGGGGTGCGGCAGAGAGCTATCAGTGAAACAAGAAGACAAACAAATGGAGGAGGAGGAGGAGGGGGAGGGCGAGGAGACGAAGGACGAGGGAGAGGAGAAGGAAGGGGAGGGGGAGGAGGAGGAGGGGGAGGAGGAGGAGGAGGAGGAGGAGGAGGAGGAGGAGGAGGAGGAGGAGGAGGAGGAGGAGAAGCGGCGGAGGCGGGGGGTAGCAACAGGAGGCATGGAGACAATCGAGAGAAACAGCATGTGACAGCAACGGGCTATACGTGCTGGACTGGAAGAGGTGAGGATACATCACTGATGCAACATCCGGGCCCCGGCACACAGGCATGCGTGGGCACTTCACATACATGCTGATCCATAGGATCTGCACGTATATTCGCACAGCCAAAGCAGCATGGTCCCACGGATTGCCTGTACCGTCTGATAGTATTCCAGGTACGCAAGAGCGTCTTCAAACACGCGGGGTGACAGAACGGCGGGAACTTAGTCCCTATACACCCGAGCCTTACCACACAGACATCAAGATGATCAGGGGCGACCTCAGGGTGACACCGACGAACATGAGGGGCGCGGAGGTCCTGAGCCGACGCATGTGGGGATTGTTCCAAAAGCGTAGTTCTCATTTTTTCTTGGACGTTCTTCGATTCGTGGTATCATGGGGGCCCATACAGGATGATGCTGATGATGATGCTGATGATGATGTTGATGATGATGAGGAGGAGGAGCAGGAGGAGGAGGGAGAGAGCGAGCGAGCAAGCAAACAGCCAAGGCGGGAACGAGTCGTAACCGTCCGATTTAGAGGGGGACCGGATCAGCAGTCAGGTACATGGCGTACGCAAGCGTGTGCGGTAATACAGAGAGGGCCCACCAATTTTGCCCCCGACGGCGCAGGTTTGACTGAGCCTGGCCGCAGACCGACATGGCCCCCTCCGCAGAACTAGAAAGGGTCCAGGGCCTTGCACGTGCGGTGGTGAAGGCCCTGGGCAGCATACTTAACCTTCAAGGCCTGACTACTCTTGGTCGAACGGTTTTCAGACCGATCGTTGCACTTCGCGCTCGACCGCATGAGAGCGAGCTTCTGGATCTCCGCTCAACACTAGCCAGGTCGGCTTGAGGAGGAAAAGGAGGAGGCGGAGGAGGAGGAGGAGGAGGAGAAGGAGGAGGAGGAGGAGAAGGAGCAGGAGCAGGAGGAGGAGGAGGAGCAGGAAGGAAGAGGGCGGATGGGGAGGAAGAGGGGGAGGATGTGGAGGGCGGGAGGAGGCGGAGGAGGAGGAGGCTCTCCCACGCGTCACCCCGCGGGTGCCGCGCGTAGAACTCCGCGTGCGCCATCAGGTGGCGCCACACCGCCGCGGCGCCATCGGCCGCGCCGCCCCAGATGCCCGCGGCGCCGAGTGCCTCCGCGTCGAAGACGCTCCGCTCCTCCGCGGCGGCCGCCTGCGACGAGAGCCCGCGGCAGGGCCGCGCGCGTGGCCGCCCGCGAGCTCGCCTGGGCGAGCCAGGCACCGTCGGCACCGAGATCGGCGACGAAACCTCCTTCTCCTCCTTCTCCTCCTCCTCCTCCTCCTTCTCCTCCTTCTCCTCCTCCTCCTCCTCCTCCCCCTCCTCCTCCCCAGCCTCCTCCTCCTCCCCCTCCTCCCCCTCCTTCTCCTCCTTCTCCTCCTCCTCCTCCTCCTCCTCCTCCCCCTCCTCCTCCCCCTCCTCCTCCCCAGCCCGTTTCGGCACGTCCGTCACGCGCCTCGTGACCCGCAGGGAGATAGCGCGCGCGCGCCCCGGCCCTCTGCCCGCACCGCCTGGACCCCACGCCTCCCTGCGGCCCGCGCGGAGCCCGCGCGTGTGCGCCGGTCGGATCGGAACGGGTACGGAACCGGGTCGGCGGCGACGCTGACGAAGACGAAGACGGCGACGACGGCGGCGACGACGACGACGGATCGGGAAATCAGGTCGGATCGGAACGGGTACGGAACCGGGTCGGCGACGACGCTGACGAAGACGAAGACGACGACGACGGCGACGACGACGACGGATCGGGAAATCAGGTCGGATCGGAACGGGTACGGAACCGGGTCGGCGACGACGCTGACGAAGACGAAGACGACGACGACGACGGCGACGGCGACGGCGACGGCGACGGCGACGGCGACGACGACGACGACGACGACGACGACGACGACGACGACGACGACGACGACGACGACGACGGATCGGGAAATCGGATCGGGTTGGGGCGTGCGTCGGTCTGGGCGGCACCGGCACGGAGTCGGGATCGGACCGGGTCGGCACCACAAGGATACAGAACGGCGCCGCGCAAGTGTGTGGCCGCGAGGAATTGCCAAGATGTCGAAATCGAATCGGATTAGGTCGGCCGGAATCACTCTCGAATCGCATCGATTGGGTCGAGATGGACCCTAGTAGGTGGGGGTACGCCAGGTCCTGGACGCTGCGCCCGCACTGAATTTTGCGCTTCGGCGTGGGAGCCTGTCGTGCAGCTGCGCCCGCACTGAATTCTGCGCTTTGGAGTGGGAGCGGGCTAGTGCGCGGGGCCCACGGGCCCGCTCGAGCCGCATCGCTGAGTCATCGCCGATGCATCGGCAATGCGGCGCGATCCTCCAACCCCATCTCCTCCGACCCCATCCAGGAGGTCCAGAGCTTGCCGCTGCTGCAATGTCGAATCGACTAGCCTCCGGGCGGCAACTTGTTTAGATCTGCGTGCTTGTCGCGTTCTCATGGGATCAATGGGTTGGTCCGCCGGCCATCGCGCACACCGCAAAAGGGCTTCGCGCACCAGACGGGCGCGCCGTGCCCTGACCAAGCCGTGGCCGTTGGCGCCCGCCGAAGCACGGCGCGGCCAGCGGGCTGAGGCCGCCCCCCCCCTCCCGTGCGGGGGATGCGCGTTTCCCGCAAACGGCCTTCCTTCTGTTCCTGCTCCTGCTACTCCTGCTGCTCCTGCTGCTCCTGCTGCTGCTGCTCCTCCTCCTCCTCCTCATTCTCCTTCTCTCTCCAGTCCCTCTCCTCCGCAATTTCTTATTCCTCCTCCTCCTTCTCTCTCCAGTCCCTCCGCAATTTCTTCTTCCTCCTCCTCCTCCTCCTCCTCCTCCTCCTCTTCCTTCTCTCTCCAGTCCCTCTCCTCCGCAATTTCTTCTTCTTCCTCCTCCTCCTCCTCATCTTCCGTTTGTGTCTTGAAAGTTCCTTAAGGGGGGCCCTGTGACCTATCGAGAGCACCAGCTGCCTCCTCCTCCTCCTCCTCCTCCTTCTCCTTCGCGTCGTTGCTTTCTTTCTCCTTCGCTGCCTCCTCCCCGGGTGGTCGGGGGGCCACCGTGCCGTCCGCCGCCAGAAATACCGCCCCGGAGAGGCCCTGGGAGAGAGAGAGAGAGAGAGAGAAAGAGAGAGAGAGAGCCCTGACATCCTCCGCTGTGTTCCCTTCGATCCACGGCCCCAGGGCTCCCAGCCGTTTCATTCCCCCCATGGGTGGCTTTAGCCCCAGACCCATGTTTGATGGCCTGGGGGCCGGGCAACGGCCCCATTGGGATGGGCGCGGGGGTTTATCAGGGGATAGGAGGGTCATCGGTGGATGCCAATAGGGCGACAAAATCTATACATATCCACTGCTCCCTGGCCAGGCCCATCCTCAACCCCGCAGCGGTGTATACGCCACGCCCTCCTGGCTTGGCCAGGAGGGCGCATACACAGCTCCTGGGTTCAAGATGGGCATGGTCAGGGAGCAGTGGATATGTATAGATTTCGTCGCCCGATGCCAAGGTGGGCTATACCTGGCCTTACCTAACTGAGAAGTGGGCTACACATGCCCCAAGTGCCTTGAGGCCTAGGCGGGTTCACGATCTGGGCTAAGTGGGCTCCGCCCACTTCGCGGGGTTATTCCACTCCCCTCAACCGCTCGGGGCACTTGTAGCCAGCACCCCCCTCCTGTCCGCTTAGCACCCCCCGCGCCCATCCCAGCAGAGGTCGGGGGCGTCTGAGAGGGGGATTCGCAAATCATGGCCAGAAGCACGCGCGCGGCCCAGGGGGGTGGCCAGGAGACGTACCGAAAGAAGAAGAGGGGCCCATGACACCTGGGAGATAGCATGGCCCTGGCCATGCTGTCCACACCATTTTAGTCATCGCCACTCTCTTGGACGCGCCCGAAGAAGCCGTGTCGCTCCGCTCCGCGGGGCTGGAGGCTCGGAAGAGCTCGGGATGTTGAAGCCTGGGGACTGGAAAGTGGATCGCGTGTCGCCCCCAATCGACTACACGCAAGAGCGACCCTGGATAAGCGTGACCTTTGGTGCGCGGCATTTTGGGAGCCGCGGGGTGACCAACACACAAGCGCGCAAGACGCTACCATCGCATCGCGTTAGGCGATCGGGGGACCCCATTGGGAACGCACCACCAAAGGTCACTCTGGCGGAAGGTCACTTTTACGTCTAGTCGACCAATGCGCAGCGGACCAGAACCAGCGGAGCGACACTCTATGCAACAGTTCCCGACTGCATCCCCATAGGACCCCCCGCGCGCCCACCCCAGCAGAGGCCTCAGGCGAGAATCAGTGGGGGGGCGACGAGTAGGGGGGTGGAGACACGTGCACCTTTCGTACCCCTCTTGGGTCTCAGGGGGCCCCATCAGGGCTCCTATACGGTACAATAGGTGCGCGCAGTTCCTCACCCCCCATTCATCGGAGCCCCCCACCAAGACTCCCGACGTCATGATTTGTTCATAACGTCGACCCTCAGAGGTCTCGACCCATTTGGAGAGATCAAAAGGTACCGATACCGCTACTCCCCGGACCTCTCCTGGGGTGCGCTCCGACCAGAATCTCGAGGCGAAAGCGGTGGCGACGAGGGCCCAGGATGCCCAACAAGGAGGAACAACGAGCGAAGGGTAGAGGTATGGGTGCCTTTTCCTCCTCTGACCACTCCCCTGGACCGGCTTTTGGGCGGTTCTTGGGCGAACAATAACAGATAGCGAAACATACTCCAAAGATCCGCAAACATAATGGAAGAACAGTCCCTCGACTATGTTTTGACTATTTTTGAATATTCCCCCTGTAGAGGGACAAGCCCGACTTCCACGCACTCCCCTGGGCCGGCGTTTCGTCCCGAGCCGTTCTTTCTCGGCGGCCTCGAGGGCCAGCGAGGGCCTCCAGGGGCCGAACGTGCGGAGAAAAAAACAAACCCGCCGTGACTTCTTTTCCGCAGTGCTCGGGGGGGCCCTGGGTTTTGCTCGCGACGCCCGAAGGCCGAGCTCGGGGAAGAGTAGAGGGCAGAAAATCCACCCCGATAGGAACCACCCCGACACGCGAAGCCGTGTAGTAAACGCACCCAGAAAAAGAATCCAACATGTCAGGCTGTGTAGTCAACGCCCAAGACCGTTTAGTCAACGCCAGTTGTCCGGTCCGGGTGGTTTTTCCGTCCTTGAAAAAGGCTCGGGGGGAACGAAAGGGGGGGATAGCAAAGGGTAGGGTAGAGAATCAGCCCACATAGCTGATTTTCCCAGCGCCTCCCGGCGCCGGGAGGCGCCCATGTGTCGAGGGATGGGCCCGGCGGCGGGGCCGAAATCAGCGGCATGCAGCAGATTTCGTACCCCCCCCCTTCCCTGTCCCCCCCCCCTCTCCGTCGGCAAACGGAGGAGGAGGAGGAGGAGGAGGAGGAGGAGGAGGAGGAGGAGGAGGAGGAGGAGGAGGGGGAGGAGGAGGAGGAGGAGGAGGAGGAGGAGGAGGAGGAGGAGGAGGAGGAGGGGGAGGAAAGAGGGGGAAGAGGGGGGAGGAAAAGGCCAGGACGGCAACCGCCACGCCGTCGGAGCTGCGGGGCCGGCTCGGCGGGGGCGGGCGCTCGCCCGGCGGCCGCCCCGCGGAGCGCCGCGCCGCAGGCCATCGGCGCGTGCGCGCGCGGCCCCGGGCGGCCCGAGCCGGGTCCGCGGGCGGGCGGGGGCCGTGGCGTCTGGGCGTCCAGACCCCCCTCGGCAGAGGAGCTGTTGCGGGCGCGGTGGACGAATTCCACTCGGCATGCAACGCGAAAAGTATGTTCGTTGTCGACGCGGTGGACGTGTTCCACTCGGCGTGCAACCATGAAACATACAGACGGCCGCAGGTCGAAATAGGATTCCGCATGATCCCACTCGGGCAAGGAAACCAAAATCACAACGGGAGGCTTTGGGGCGCACAGGGACATACTAGTACTATATGTGTGCTCCTCGGAGGCGCGCGTCTGACCCGAGCATATGGTATACCCATCTTGCAGTACATCGTTTCCCGAGCGGTGTGGCCAGAAAGCGCCCGCCACGACGCATATACTGTAAGACTTCTAGGTGCGCGCGTCGCCCCTGGGGGGGGCGACGCACATCAAGTATAAGTATGTTGGGATGACGCCGAGGTTTCTCCGTGCTTCTGCCTCTGGCGGCCCTTCCTGGCCCCTCGGGGCCACCAGAAGAACGGCTCGGGGCGAAAAGCCGGTGCAGGGGAAGGGGTCGAGGCCTCTGAGGGCCGACGTCATGCACAAGTCACTACGTGCGTTCGGCCTCTGGAGGCCCCTCCGGGCCCCTGG